AATCAAAATATTTGCTTTTTTTTATTTTTAAAAAATCAAGAATTCTCAAATTTTTAAATTTACCGTTTACAGCAAAATCAGGACAATTACATTTAGGAAGAGTTGAAATCTCAATATTATAGACCTTTATAATAATTAAATAAATATATAAATAACTATGTAAATATAGGTAATTAAATGCATAAATAAATCATAATATTTTTATGATATTTACGTTTCCAACTGATCCTAATACTACAAACTCATGATGTAATTCATTAACTTCGGATCTATCAACCAAAAACATTCTTTGTGACATTGCACGTTCAATACGTTCTTTTACTTTCTGTAAATATATAAATAATAATAATATTAGCAAATATTATTGATATCATTAAAACATACTTTTAAAATTTTACCATTGAACAACTAGGACGAAACTTTGCAAGACGCTTTTCTTCGGGTTCTTTATCTTTCTCTTCATTTAGACGTGCTCTTTTTTTTTCATCAGTCTGAGCTGCATTATTGTTAGCACTTGAGGACGAAGAACTAGTAGCAGCAATTTGTTTTTCATCTTGCTTCTTGGTTTTCTTCTTTGTAGATTCATCAGATTTGTCACTTTTTTTTCTTTTATTAGTAGGTTTTCTGACTTCTTCCTCTGCAATGATAGTATTACTGGAGGCAGTGTTAATAGTAGTAATATTATTATCCACATTATTGAATTTTTCCAAATCAATGACTTTATCATTATTATCAGTAGAAATAGCAATACTAGCAGGATCAATATCATCAGTTTTAGCTTTGGCGGTACTATCAGTGCCGCTGCTGATTACAGTGTTATCAACTTTTTCAATATTTTGTTTAGATTTAATTCGACTACTTCTTCTCAAATTTTGTTGTATTTCTTTATTATCTTCATTAGTATTGGTATTAGTTACTTTTTTTTTTCTCCCTCTACTCTTAATAGTACTAGTGCTAGTATCAGTAGTAGCAGTGTCAAAAGTGACTGAGGTAGTAGAGGCAGAAGAAATATTTTGATC